TACAAGATAAGTTAAACATAAGAATGGGCTAATAAGAACTCTTATCAGCCGAACATCACTCTAACATTCTAACATTTTCTATTTTTAGTTTTAATAAATTTTCCACCTTTCAATAAGTCCACCTATCTAAACATTGTTTCCAAGATCTGTCCAGTTAAACTGAAACGTGGTATCAGATTCCAAGTGAGTACATAATGAGCCTAACATATTGATTCTAGAAGTTTGTAAAAATAAATATGCTTCTATGATATGAATACATCATAATCAAAGAAAATAATAAAAATATTGCATGTTGATTTAATAGATAATGTAATTTATAATCTCCATTAATCGAAAAGCCTAATAGTATGATTCTTATAATATTTATAACAGGTAAGACTATTTCATGATTGATGAGATGAAGAAGAACAAAGAACATCTGACATGAAGATAATGATGATACAGCACCAAACTTCCAATACAAAATATAATTAATGATATTATAAGGGTGTATAGAGATAAAACCCACATTGGAGAMAACCTTCTCCCAGTTTCCTGTACTCTGAAGCCAACATTTGCAAAGAGCAACAGCAAGGCTAGCATTTATGAACTGATGATCACCAGACAAGCTAAGTTTTATTCTGTCCCATCGTTTAGGGTCAAGTGGAGGCACAACTTCCAAGGGAACCTACATTTGTTAAGATTATATAAGGTGAAATTACTGCTACTAAATCACATGATACAATGAGATAATAACAGCTTGCAGATGAACTAAAATAGGCCATTTATTGCTGAGAACCATGTTTCTACACCAAGATGAATCCCAATGTTAAAAGAAAAAGAAATGATAGGAGGTTCCCTACAAGACAACATCAGAGATCTCCTAGGTGTAGACACCCTAAGATTGTTTCATTTGTATATTAAATTTAAAAGAAAAAAAGATATTACCAAATGTTGGAAGGGGTGGACTGGATACAGACCTAACAGTTGGCATTTTTTGCAAGAAGTGGCTGCTCTCAGACTCAAACATGTTTTACCACTACATCAAGAATCACATTAATGAAATCTACTTTGGTCAACCTACCTGTTTACTACCTGTTAGTGTTTAAAATACCGATTGGGATAAGTAGAAGCATAGAGAAGTTGATGAGATATTTTTTATGGGAGCCAGGGAGGAGAAGAAGGATCATAGGATAGGCAGGGAGGTGGTGTATAGAAGTAAGAAATATGGGGAGTTAGGTCTTGGGAGAGAGAAACATGGCACTGTTGGGGAAATGGTTGTAGAGATTGACAACGGATAGAAGAAATTGTGGGCAAAGATGATAGTATTCATGGACTTGTGGGTTGTGGCGGATGGTTGGGACTCTGGAACTTTACCTCTATTCTTACCACATATCAGGTATCATCCCAGATCTAGGAATCTTGTCAAATTTTGGGATCATGTTTGGGTGGGAAACCTACCGCTAAAGACACAATTCCCCTCCCTTTATACCCTTTTCAACGGGAGGAACCTATCTCCTATTTTCTGGATCCATCTAATGCAATTGTTGGGTGTAACTGGGATCTGAGCTTTGTAATCATGAAATGAACAGTGTCATAAACCCATTACATAGCTTGAACGGGATGTGTTTAGAAGTCGGTAAAAGGGATAAGAGAATTTGGACCCTGGTACCTTCACATGTATCTCTTTTTTCTCATCCCTTATTCAACTGAGTGTAAGTCAAAGGCCTTCCTTCCCATTTAGGGAAATTTGGAGTTTACCTGTCCTGAATAGGGTGGGTGTCTTGTGCTGAGAAATGTATTTGGAAAGAATTAATACTTGTGAGCTACTGCAAAGAAAACAACCTAAGTGGTGCCTCTCCCCTCACTAGTGCTCCCTCTGCAAAGTTAAAGGTGAGAATTGCTATCACTTATTAATCTCCTAGCTTTGTTCTTCTTCAATTTGGGAATGGTTCTTTTTTTTTTATTTGGGTGCAAGTGGAACCCTTCGCCTAATGTAAAAGCTTGTTTGCTCCTACCATCGTAAGCTGGTCAAAGAAGAGGGGAAGAATGCTTTGGATGTGCACAAGGGCAACAATATGTTGGACAATTTGGGAAGAGAAAAACCAATGAGTTTTTATTGAAAAAGAACGAAGTAGAGAAGCTATTACCATCAAGGTGGTCCATTGGGTGAAGTCATCAGATCTCTTCAAGGATGTTTTTGGGGGAGAGGTGATGAGAAATTAGAGAGTGGTACCTAGTTCTTCCTCCTTTAGGGTGGTGGTTAGGCCTGTTTGGTCCCCACCCCCTAGAGGTTTCATTAAGCTCAACTTTGATGGTAGTAGTGAAGGAAACCTGACCCATCTGGCATCGAAGGAGTGTTTAGGAATGAGGAGGGAAATGTCATTGCATTTTACTGAGGTCCAATTGGAATTATGGTAGTTATGGAAGGGATTCGAAAGGCTAAGAAGCTGAACATCAGGAAGTTGTTAATTGAACTAATTTTCTTCTTAATTAATGATATTGATTCGGTTATTGATAAAGAGAATACACCCCATTAAAATTTAAAAATACTTTCTAAAAATAATTAAATTGATGTAAGTGTGTTATCTCAGTTTGGAAAGAAAAAAATACGAGCTGACATGCATGAAAAATTATAACTTAAAAAAGTCCAGATTTGACAGTTGTGGATGAGAAGCTATCATAGCAACAGCCACTAGTTTGGATAAGGGAACACAAAATTAAGTATTTATGTGAAAATAGGTGGCATGGCCAAAATAAAGAAAACACTATTAAATGTATGTGTGCCAAGATCAACTTGGACAAAGGAAAATTTTAAAAATAAGACCGGCATCTGATTTGACAGGTTCGTTGCTGTAGGGAGTTTCAGGTTGTCATAGATCAAATGAACATATTCAGGAGGAGGTCTCATGGTGCTTGCTGTTTTCTAACAACATTGTATTAACTGATGAAACTAATAAAGGATTAAATGCAAAATTAAGTTTATGGAAAAATAACTAAGAAACAAGAGGTTTTAAAATAAGTAGAACCAAAATAAAATATATGCAATGTAAATTTAATAATAACAGGAACACAAACTAGGGTACACTTGGGATTGGAAACTAGGAGAAAACTCAATGTAACCTTTTCCATTATGATGGCTCAATAATTCATAACAAGGGAGGGATTGAGGAGGACGTTGCCTATAAAATTCGAGTATGATAGGCAAAATAGAGGGGGTGCATCCAGAGTCTTATGAAATAGGAAAATACTACCTTAGTTAAAAAGGAAAATTCTATAAAAAAAATGGAGCATAGTGTTGAGCAATCAAGAAACAACATGTCCAAAAAATGAGGGTTGCAGAAATGCATATGCTGAGATGGATGAGTGGAAAATGAGATGGTTTAATCACGTGCATAGAAGATGATCTACATCACCCATAAGAAGAAGCGATCTGTTACAAGTTGAAGGGGCCAGAAGGGCTAGGGGCAAACCAAAGAAGTCTTGGATTAAAGTAGTAAGAAATGATTTAAACCTATTTAATTTAAACAATGAATCTGACACTAAACATAATGGAATGGCAAAACATGATTCATGTAGCCGACCCCATATAGTTGGGACATGACTTAGATGATGATGGTGATGAAGATGATGGGTTACATGAACACTTGAAGGCTAAGACACCAGACTAGACTATTATGGATAGGGGCACAAGTTGGGCTAGGTTAGGTTGGGTTGAGGGCAACCCTAGCCCAATCAGAGGTTATGAACCCTCAACCCTAACCCTAAAACCCAACCCAACTTAGACAAGCCAAATCCTAACTCTACCTAAAATCCCTCAACCCTAAGCCAACCCAACCCAAAGTTGACTTCGGGTTGGGATGGGCTTGTATTGGGCCCAACCCAACCTTACATGCTCTTAGAATCTCATACAATCTCTCAAATATATTTTTCATAAAAATTTGTTTGTTTGATGTTTTTATTGGCTCTTTTAGTACAAAAGTGAGAACAACAAATGTTTCAAATGATTAGTCTTTTATAGGTTATGATAGTATTTAGTGGGACTGTACAACTATCATACATGTCACACATCAGATGATAGATATCACATATATGAGTATGATATATGTATGCAGATTTGTCTTAGATGATACGTAAAAATAAAGTCGAGTTCAGGTTGGGTCAGGTTGCCTGAAGGGTCAACCCTAAGCCAACATTAAGTTAAATCAGGTTCATACTTTTCAACCCTGACCCTAACCTGATCATGAACTGACTTTTTCAGGTTGGGTTTGAGCTAAACCAGCCCAAGTTGCAGCCCTAATTATTGATATAAGATAGCTGATTTCCATGCTGAAACCCTTGTTCATTTGGGCCAAAAGATCCACTAATTTATTTTTTTATAATAAATCGAAAGAATACTGAAAGAAGCAAAAACTAATGGAGAAAGAAGATTAACATAAAACATCCTTCTCCTAATAACCCAGAAACAAAATAAAGAAACAGAAAATCCACTCTATATCAGCATTGACAATAACAAGAGTAATCTACAAATTAGATCAAAAGCAAGATGGCTCAATATAAACAACCTAGTATATATAAAATAATATGCTCCATAACATTTTCACCTTCCTAATTACCATAGAAGAAAACCAAGAATAAAATAATTCATATGATGAAATATTGTGAATATTTTCCTTCTTAACAGTGAGGGGAGAAAACAAACCAAATGAAACCAGAAACCATGCAAGAAAATGACATCTTCACTCTCATTACACATATAACAGAGTGAATCATACTAAAGCCTCTACTTTTCAAATAATGCATGGTAAGAATGCTGTCAAGAGAAAACAGCCAAAGCAAACACCTCTGCCCCTTGGAGGAATAGGATTGCCCCAACTGAGAATCAACCATTATTGCACTCTTTCCACCATCATGAATCTGATGACTAAGGAGAGCTTTTCTCAGATTCTAACTTGCTAAGAAGAGTAAATTTCCTGTAACTCTAAATCCAACAAAGGTTTACTTAACATTGGGCATCTGAATGACCTGGGTAATTTTAATTTCATAATATAACAATCTAGGTCACAAGTCACAACTCATGTATTGCCTTCAATTTGGCAAATCCTGCAAGAAACTGTTAAAAAAACAAAAGACATAATTCCTTTCCAAACATAAGCACCATAATAACAAACTTCCATAATGCTTCCTGTTCTTTCCCAAATCCATAACCACTATTCCAAGAGAGATTTAATCAAAACCCTAATTCTCCCAAACCCCAATCCACCCAATTCTTTTGGTCACACACCCAATCTCATTACCAAATGATATTTCCACCCTTTACCCCATCAGCCTATAAAATATCCCTTTGGATCTTCTCAAGTTGATAGAGCACTCTTTTGGAATCTCAAGTAATAAATTGGAAAACTAGCCAACAGATGTTAATCAAACTAATTCATCTGCTAAGTGATAAATACCTCAATCTCCACACCCACTAGCCTTCTTTCAATTCTATCTATGACAACCTATCACTTTGATACTATAGAAGTTTTAGCCCTAATAGTCAACCAAGTAAATGGAAATTCCCTGACCTGAAATCCAACATCCAAGAGATACCACAAACTTGAAAAAACATGCTTGATATTACCTTCCTCAATCATCATAATTTTGGAAAATTCACCCTTAAATTGGAAAGAATTTAAAGTTGCTCTA